GGTTCGATTTTGTTGTGTCATTGTGTAATAGGCTTTCATGACGGTATTTTTTCCTTAGTCCCTGGGAGAAATTAACAGTTTAGCAAGAATAAAACATTGCGGATGAATTAACTAAAATTCTATGTTGAAATATAAAAATAAATCATCAAAATCAATAGAAATTGCAGTCGTCAAAAACTAGGATAGCCGTCGTTTTAAAATGTTAATTGATTTCAAAAACTACTTCATGGGAAACTTGTGAAAATAGATGGATGTTTGAACCTACTTCTGGGCGCAATCGCTATTAGTCAGATTTTAATTAATGTTATAGCATCTGAATAAAGTACAATTTGTCGACTTCCACGCGGGCAAAGCTTATACCAAAAGCTTGTAGCGAATATAATTGAACGGTTGAAGGTTGAATTTACCAAGGACATTGGTCTGAGAGATACATTTCGTTTACTTTGCAAGATTTCTCAAAAAATTACAATTTCTCGGACAAAGTGATAATTACAATGCTACAGCGTTGTGTAGGGAAGAAAAACATTTTATGTTCTCTTTTATTGCATAGTAAAATTCAAAATTACCACTCAACAGGAAAGACTAAAATGCCTAGGCTAAGTAATTGTTTTCCAGAATGCTTGTTCAAGTAGCTACATAATAAAGAAAACAAAAATAAATGTACCTACCTCATTTTAAAAAGTAAGAAACGTATCTTGTAATATGGTCAGCTACACTGATTATTACCATATTCCCCATAAAAGCCCAACTTTACCCTCACATTTTGTTTTATACTGCAACATTTGCGGAAGTTATGGGTGCTGTAACCCATAACTTTCACAAATTATTGTAACCCTCCACTAGTCATGGCCAATATCACTAACGTATGTACTGGAACATTGAGTTTTCCCGGAAAATAGGAGCTGCTAGGTTTATTCCTGTCATGTAGCTTGGGGTCCCACAGGCCACTGGGAGTAATCCCCTTTAGTGCGGCCTTACTGGCCTGAATTACACAAAAGAACGGACTCATATCGTCGTTTGTGTGACGGATGGGCAGCCTGTATTTTAAGTGACAAATTGGATATGTCTGGATTGGTTACATGAACTGTAATCAATAAGTAATTGCAAATAATCGTAGGTTAGGTAAGTTACTATTCATTATTAATTAGCCTGACTCTCGTTACACAGGTTAACCTTGTACGAGAGCAGCACATATTTTGTAATTGTAAAGTTTATTTAATAAAAGTATTTTAATTTTCATAAGAATAACAACAAAAAATTGTTCTGATTTTGCTTTTAGTGTAAAATTGAAATTGATATCAATTAATATAATATTACAATGTAGGTAAATCCAAATGGTAAGAGAAAACTAATGAGCTCTCAAAATTGATTGTAAGTTATTGTCCATGATATAACGCGAAACAAAAATGTTATAAGCAAGTTATTGGTGTACGAAAACCTACCAGTGTTGCCAGTCGGGTCTAGTCAGAAATTACCAGAATTATAAAATAAAAAAAAGTAACCTTTTTGAATCACAAGTAACCTTCATACGGGGGGGGGGGGGTGCGGAGCGATGATTGTGTAAGGTTGTTCATGGATGGAAAATGAATACAATTGATCATCTAAATTCGAAAAGTGACCAGTCGTATAAAAACGTTTCATGCGTTTTACTATCGAAAAACATTCGCTAAAACTCATTTTTTAAAAAAAATAATTAATCAAATAATATCACCTAAAAGTAACCTTTTCATTAGTGTAACCTAAAAGTAACCACAGCAGTACAAAAGTAACCTTCTGGCAACACTGAAACCTACGGATAAGCAAAAATATCCCAAATCTGCTGTTAATGTTACTACCACCGCCATCTGTCGGGAATTTCCGGAAACGCGACTGAAACTGAAACCGGCGAACCAAAAGCACCGCAATGTTTTCAGGAAACAAGTTCCTACTTAACGGCGCTAGTATATGTGTTGATGTTGCGGTATATTTTCCCGCGTTATTTTTCTAAAGATTCCTGTTGGGTTTTTAGCGGTTGAAAGAGGAAAATTTTGTATAATGATAATCTGTAGAGATGGCGCTAATTTAGCATCCACGTTTTCCCGACTGCGGAAAATATGATGGTGTTCATAGAATCACAGAAACGCGATTGGCTGTTCTAGAAGCTTTTATTTTTGCAACGTAGGTACCTTTGTTTGTCAATTAAGGGACAAAATTATTATCTAGATTTCCTGAACAATTGGGTATACGAGTAGACCTAAAATTGAGGTCTCCAATCAGAAAAATCAATGATAAAATATTGTCCTATCATAAAATCAAGTTTTTAACCTTGGCTTCACATAGATATATTTTACAGTAACTAAGAAGCATTAAGTTGCTCTGAATATTAAAACCTCATAAAAAAACATACTCGTATGATTGAAAGTAGGAAATCCGAGACTGAAGTCTGAAGCTTTTAGCGTGATGGTACAGACTTGCCTTTCACGTCTAAGCAAACAATTTGAAAACACTTTAAGATTTTTCGTTTACTGGCTGCGTAATCCGATAAGAAATCTTAACAATATACCATTATAATTTTAGGGTTCCGTACCCAAAGGGCTCCAATGGATCTCTAATACTAAAGCACAGATTTTTTAAAACTTTTAGTCCCATTTAGGGTACAGCAGGCGTACTACCTGCCAACCGGTCATTACGCAAATCATTAGGGGAAGTCCATGTTCAGTTCAGCCGTGGACGTCCTATGACTGAAATGATGATTATGATGATGGTGAGGCGAACTATGGTGCCGTGTGGTGACGGCAGAGTAGAATACATTTGTCACCAACCCCTACTCTTCCCGCGGGTGTCGTAAGAGGCGACTTAGGGACTACACATCAAACAGAGAACGGGCAGCAGCGCTCTCTGAAAAACATCAATCTTTTAAACTGCGGTCTCCAACCCGCCTGCCAAGCGTGGAGATTATGGCAAAACCCTCAACTATAGTGGAGGAGGCTCATACTCCAGCAGTGGACTGTAAAGAGCTGTTGATGATGAGGCGAACTAAAACGCATACGGCATTCTCTCCCAGTCACTGGTTGGCGTGACAAAGTAACAGACAGTTACCTTTACAATATTACTGGATTAAGTGAACCATCCAGCCCTTGTAAATATCCGGAGACAGACAAACATAATTATTTATGACATGCTAAAAGCAGTCGCGTGCGGTGGTGCCGAAGTAAGTCACGGAACGAACGACGGCACATCAAGCTTACACTGCGGCATTTTTGTAGTTGTAATAGAGCATATTATGGAACAAAAATGTATAGTCTCATGTGCTGTCGACTGTACGCTTGGGCAAATCGCAAATTGAAATTTAAAGTAGGCACCATTCATTTGTCATTTGCGAAACTCAAAACATGCTTTCGGAAAATGTTTGAAGTAATTTTTCACGAAATAAATGCCGCAGTATTTTGTGACACGCGTCCAATATCAGTTATAAATAAATAATATTATTTTTGTAACGAGTGAAATAAAAATAAATTACGAATAGTTGATAGTTGAAACCAACCATTATCCCAAAAAAATTAATTTAAAACCTCAAATAAAAAGTAAAACATTGTAGCTATTACTTATTTGCCTTTTAAAATGCTAGCTGCCATGACTTACAAATTGTTTACAAGCGAATAAATAAATAAATAGGTAGAGTATTTTTGTGCAAAGTTACTAAAGTTACTATCAACCTCCCAAAATATTCTCACCTATTTATGTGACAAAGTAAACAAATAAGTTATCAGAATGTAATTACGTAAGTTATCAGCTCCCTACCGCACTGACATTGCGGTTATGTACCTATCTATTTATTTATTAGTACAAAGATAACGGTTATGTGATAATATTGGTGATCAAAATATATTTTTTTGTATTTTTTTTATTTCTTGCCAACTAAAATTACCAAACATAGAACAGATATCATTGTATTTCACCGCATTGCTAATTATTAGATTTTTATTCTATGAAATTTACTAAATATAAAAATATACATATAATTGCACCGATCTCAATAGGGTTAACAACTAATTCGAAATTAATTAGCAATGAATAAAAATAATTTAATAAGTTTTTTATTACTTTTCATTTGTTTTGAAATAATTATGAAATCATATTTTTAAATAATAATTCATTAAAAAATAGTACGTGGTTTACTTTTTGACATTTGACTTTTTTCATTTTTTTGCTTTTTAAAATAAACCAAAAAGTATTTGTCAGAAGTGGGATTCGAACCCACGCCCACAGAAGTGGACTGCGACCTGAACGCAGCGCCTTAGACCGCTCGGCCATCCTGACATATCGGGAGCGGGCGAAATTGATTGTCACACACTATTTAAAAATCTGATAGGAAAATGGTCATTTTCATGGGAATTTCCCACAAAACAACTCCAGCAAAAGCCCTCTAAAAATAGCATTCAGTATCTTGAAAATACGTACAAATTAATAAATAGAATTTACAATTTATATGAAGTAAACTAAAAAAAATCCTATATATTCATTTGTACCTACGCATTTTCAAGGTGCTATTTTTAGAGGGCCAACCAATAAAAACATCTTAGGGACCAACTAACTAATCTCGTTGGCTATCATTGACGTTTATTTTTGGTATACCTCTACCTATATCTAAGTAATTTTAACATTTATTTAGTAATTTTGAAATGAAATTAGATAACTTTGATTTTGTTTATAATAAATCTTAAAAGAGTGATAATACTTAATATTTTGCATTTATTATTTATCCTTTATTTTTTGGTAACATAGATAAATAAATGTAAAATATTAAATAAAAAACTACTATTAATATTTCTAGAAAATTGTAGTTTTGTTGGTCAATTCAATCAAATGTAATTCAGTATTTAGTATTTCATAAATGCGTGACAACCCTATCCACAGCCCAATCTCCAATTTCACACGGCGCGTTGCGGTTTCTGCCACATAATATAAAGGCGATCGCTACACATCAGTAGCTGTAGATATACTTAACCATTTCTCTGAGTTTGTGTCTGTCACCATGACGACCATCACGATTGACCTCGAGAAAGACCCTGCGGTCACCAATTTGAGAAACTACCTTCGAATCCGCAGCGTGCAGCCTAATATTAATTATGGTAAGATGAAATTAAACAGTCACGCTAATTAAACAGATAATGTGCTCCAAAAAAGGGTAAAACAATTCGTGATATTTCTCGGCCATTCTCAGATGAGCTAGTTTTTGGGTGTCCGGGCTGTTAAATCGTTAAAAATGACAAATTAGAGACATGCATGTATTTTTATATGTTACTTAACAACCCCATCCAGTTGTGCATGAAATCATAGGCCTCTATTTTAAGTATTTGTTACTTAATAAATTTCATGAACCTCTATTCTCTAATTACCGTTACGCGTCCGCGCACCGACTTAATGTTAAAACTTGGCTGTAATTTTTATGTCGTATAGATTTGGTTTACTCCATTCAACATTTTAAAGAGTACAAAAGATTGTCTTACGCATAGCAAAATATCTATTCAATAGAACCATTCTGTAAATAATTAGAATTAAAAAACTGCTTGTCCGAGCGAAAGTCCTAATTCCCGTGACGTTTTCTGTTTTTGGGCACACAAGCCTAAATAATAATATTTGACACATCATTTACGCGCGCGGCGCGAGCCCTTAGTTAGTTCCCCCTTCTGACCGAAACTAAGTGTTCCTGTTATAGCCTCGATTATTGCAGTACACTGAAAATATCTTGATACAATAAATAATAGAAATGAGTGTTTTCCTTTTTTCAAAGGGTTATTCAGTGTACCTACAGCGTTTTTTATGACGCTATATATTTATATACAAATTTATCAATGCAAGATATTGTTTTCTTACTATTTTACATATTTTTTATAATTACCGTTATATTAAGTATTAGCCTTATCTAATTACCGTGACCATAAAATTTTTGGGTCTCATTTACGCGAAAACCGCTTGGAATAATTTGACGCCTTAACGATTGTTAAATTCGTACTTTTCATGTGTTTCATATTTAAATGCGTTTAAGTCAATTAAGCCAAATTTCAAAAATGATATGGTAATTAGGCTGAGAACGCCTAATCGTGAGAATGGCCGTTCTAATCAAATTATTTTATTTTTATTGATAATTAATCTTATCTTGGTTTAAGTTCCATTTGAGTGAAATCGACCCAGAAAATCGATCGATTTATAAAATAACCTATCTACCCTAGTTGAAAATCATGCTGGTTTAAGGATTCATCGCTGGCACAGTCAAAGCTCTTATTCGGTCGAACATAGTATTTTGCTCTATTGTTGACCAGAGCCTCAAGTTAAAAAGCAGCCGATTTGTAGCCGTAATTTTAAATTTCTATGAAATAAGTAGGACCTTTGACAACGTTTGTCGCTAGCAAGGTAGCTAATTCATAGAAATATAACTCGTACCTATGTAACAAGTAGACTAAGAAACCGACAGATTCGCGCCGCTACGACATCTCGTCTGATGCTGCATAGAGACGGTTACAAAATGATGTGTTAGTCAGATTTAGCCTAGGCGCAGACCACCGATTTTTAGTTGGCCGATAGTTGGGCCCGATTCTAATTTGTATGAAGAATCGGCTGATACCAAATCGGTGTAATTTGCGCACTTACATGCATCTCCTTACTGATTAACAGCCCGACCCAACTATCGGCCAACACAAAATCGGTGGTCTGCATCTAGGCTAAGAATTCTGACTGACCCACAGCTTACTTATTAGTCACTGCTGACGCTCTCACATTTTGTACCCAGATGAATGCATCACCTACCTCCGCGGTCAGGCAGCGCAGCTGGGCCTTCCCGTCCAGGTGTTCGAGCCGGTGCCCAAGAAGCCCGTGCTTGTCATGACCTGGCTGGGAACAGAACCCGCGCTGCCCAGCATCCTGCTTAACTCGCATATGGACGTCGTGCCCGTGTTTGAGGTTTGAAATTACATTATTTATATTAGAATATTACTCCGTGATCATGGCGCTTGCAACAGTGCTGAAATATCGCATATTCGTAAATAAAAAGGTCATGGTATTAAGCCCGTAGATAACTAATATCAGTAACCATGAAAAAACAATATATTTTCTTCTAGTTTAAAATATTACTAAACTAACGACTACGTGGTTTTTAATGGAGACAGAAGCATTTGGACTGAAAACTGACAGACATCTCTATTTGAGCCCTGTGAAACCAAAGTTGTAGTTTATTTGCCAGATAAGTTCCGCATAGGCTTATAATACTCGTATAGGACGTTGACGGCCTGGTGGTGAATTCCTGGTGGGGAATTATAGAAATTCTATTGATTGGCTCGTTTTTGTATATGCCAGGAGACACTTAAGTATAAATCTTTCGTTTTCATAAAACATATCCATTCTTGTAGGCTAGGATCCAAAGCTAAAGTCACTCTAAATATAACATAATCCGCCATATTTGTTTTCAGAAAAGCTGGACCCACCCTCCTTTCGCCGCGGATCTAGTAGACGGCGTCATCTACGCTCGAGGAGTCCAGGACATGAAGTCGGTGGCGGTGCAGTACATAGAAGCTGTACGGCGTCTCAAGGAGAAGGGCATACGGCTGAAGAGAACCGTCCACTTGTCTTTTGTGCCAGGTATTGTGAACCCCTTTTTGGAAGAGTAGAAAACTTCCTATAGTCTGGTCTGTGAGCACGTAGAATTTTGTCCAATGACCCCAAGCTACCCATCCTTATCGCTCGCACGTAATTACACTGCACACTCACTGCGGGCGCCCGTCGCACAGTCGCGACAGCAATTAATTATTACGCGCAAGCGATAAGGATGAGTAGCTTGGGGTCATTGGACAAAATTCTACGTGCTCACAGACCGGGCTTTAGTCTGCATCCCTCTTAAAACCAAA